GGGAGAGGGGAATGGAATTTTATCAATTTGGAACTAAGGGAGAATTCACTCGTCCATGTCTGTATCGGTTAGAAAACAATTATCAATCGGTTAGAAACGGATGGAAAATGGTAAGGTTAGAGAATGGTAAGGTTTCCATTTTTGTTTATCGCGCGAAATCCGCGGGGGAGAGGATCGACAAAGGAGGCAGCAGCAAAGAGTTATGTAGGGCGGAAAGAGGAAACGAACGTGAAAGGAAATCCAAAGAGGTTCGAAGAATGACTACGTGGAGGAGCTTTGTGCAAAGCTCGTCGTTTGTAGTGGACGACAGCGCGAACAGCCAGAATGTTCAAAGAGATTTTCCTTCCTTCTCCTTCGAATATCGCCTTTAAACTAACTCTCTCTCTATATATATATATATATATCTTTCTCTCTGTCCCGTGGTTGCTCGTTTATTCGATCGTGACTCGATACATGTAAACGAACGATCGATCAGCGTGTCAACGATTCGATGGTTAAATCGGTTAAATCTCTCACCTGCTGTCTGCCGTCCAGCGATGGGATTAAGCGTATCGCGAGTTCACGGATCAGAGATCTTCGACATAGGAATGTATAATCTTCTATTTTTTTTCTAAGATTTAAAGAAAAGGAGATTTAGAAATCTTGGACGAGGTTTAGATTTTAACTTTACGAAGCGAACATTATTATTACTTACTTTCGCTGTTGTTTCGACGAAGGTATTCTTTTTTCCCCTCTTTTAGATTTAGGTTTAAATTTAAAACGCCGCGAATCTTTCGAATCTTTCGCTCGAAAATTGTTCGAATACTCGAGTCGGGCTCGATCCCATCGCTAGGCTCGATACACGCCGAAGCGGGAAAACGGTTCAATCGACAAAATGGATTGTCGATAGCGTAATGCGGCTTCGACAAGCTTTGTGGATGTAACACAATTATTTTACGCCGATACAGAAGTCCCCCTCGTTAAATCCCTCCCCTCCCCCCACGAATCTATGTTAATGATCGTGTTTCTGCGTTATTGAACGATGTCGAAGTCATCGCTCGAGTGGCGTGCTGCTATCGACAGCACGCGTCAACTCTTCGCGCGATCTATGAATCTTTGAACGAAATTTCAATGAACCAAACGTTTCTCTGACATCGTCGTTTACCGCCGATACGCGCGCGCACACAGAGAGAATATAAATTTCGTTTAATCGGTTCATCGATAAAAGCCGCTCTCTCGTTTGTTGTACACGAGAAGAGCTCTTGACTAGTCGATTCGAGGCAATTTTTCCTTTTTTTTCTTTTTAATTCGTCGTAGAACGATGTTCTTATATAACGAAAAATTCCTCTTTCTAGAAAAGTAATTTCGTTTTCGTTTCGTCGATGCGTCGGATTTTTTAATTTATTTGGAGAAAAAGAAAAATTCCTTCTTCGAATAACTTTAATTTCTCTTTTTGCTTCTAATTTCTGGGAAAATCGACGAGAAAATAAATATATCTTTTCTTTATAACAGAGACGATGTACCGTGCCGTTCGTTTTCGACGAAAACGGGGAGAAAATTGTTATAATTTTGTTTCTGTCGCAGGAGTGCAAGCGCCTCCGAGGAACGATTCCGTACGTTTGGAGCCAGGACCTCTGAGTGGCGCTGGAGCGCTATACGTCGCTGCGACATGTGCGTGCGCCTTGATACTAGTGGTGGGGAGCGTGGCGAGCGCCCTGTACATTCGCAACAGCAAAGCTCGAATACAAGAGTCGCAGTAAGTGTATAAACAGAATTTTATACACCATCTCTTTCTCTCCACTTTTTTAACTACGAATTTTTCTTTCCTCTTCATCACATTTTCACATTTTAACATTTTTCCACGCTCGAAAATTGAAATTGTGAATAAACGGGCGAAAATCAATTTATTATCGGCGAAATATTATCGCGAGGAGCGATGTAAACACAACGAGCGTACACATCGATGATCGTCGATGAATAAAATCGCCGGGGGGATCGTAAATTACCGTAAATCGGAACGGAGATCGGAACAAATATATCGAATTTCGTTTTCGGATAACGAACCTTTAAAAATGCAAATTTCCAATCGTTGAACCGTTAAAAAGCGCGCAAATCCGTTCGATTTTTCAATTTTTCCTCCCCCTCTCCACCTATCCTAATTTCACAGACGAATCCAAAGAAAAAAAAAAAAAAGAAAATTTGCGATGCGATTAGAGGGCAATATGCTCGCATCGCATATCTCAAGAGTTACCCAAGGGAGTTTCGACGAGCCAAGTTCTTCTTCTTTTGCTTCGGCTCGGTGGAAACGGGCGAAGGAGAGAGAAAGATTTCTACACTCCTCTCTCCCCTCTCTCCCGGGAAATTCATGGATAAGAACTCCGGTAGGAGAACTCGTCCGCATGAAATATCCTTTCAATAAGCTCGGGTGATCCGTCTGCCACCACGTTTTATTGCGCCAGCTTACCTTCTCCCTAAGAAAGGAGGATCTCCTTCGCCTCCTCTTTCGCGGAATTAACTAACCGCACCGGTTAATCGAGGTACCCGTCACCTTGATTTTCAGTTTTATTGATTGATCAATTCTACCAGTTTTATTGATTGATCAATTCTTACAATCTTGTATATACATGCACAAATATTAAATTAACGAATATTAAATTAACAAATATTAAATTAACGACTGCGATCTTCTTTATCGATCGAGACGTATGGAAATTCTCTGTTCTAAAATTTCTCGAGAGAAAGGAAAAAGATGGTTGAGATGGAAACTTGAGATTAAAAATTTTAATACACGGTATTCGTGCGCTTTCATCGTTCACCCCGCGTTATCTCTTCTAACGGGAATACTTTTATCAGAGGAGGGGAATTTTCACGGAGGAAAGTGGCCGATTGTCTCTACGTAGGGACGTATATTAGCCCTTTTTGAGGGCTCTTCCTCCACTCTGATGAACGCGCGGGAAACCAGGGCTTCTACGTTCTCTCCTTCCAAGGAGGAGGGAAGAAGGCGAGATTTTACATCCGTTCGCTCGAGTAAACACAGCACCGTCGCCACCCTCGTCGTCTCGATCTCGACGTCGCACAAAGGACGATTGGACGGGGAACAGGATGCTCTTTGCGGCTACGAATGCTTCTTCTTAGAAGGAATTTTCTTACGAGGAGAGAGAGAGAAAATTTCAACAATTTTTCCTTTCTTTTCTTTTCCCTCTTTTTATTATCGATAAAAAATGTTGATGAATTAGAAAATGAATTAGAAAATAGAAAATGTTGATATTTTGCACGAAATTTTCGAATGATGGATGTTTATACGAAACTTTTCAACAATTTTTCTTTTCTTTTCCTTCTTTTTATTATCGTAGAACAAATCGATAAAAAGGGAAATTTTCGAATGATGGATATTTGTACGAGACTTTTCAACAATTTTCCTCTTTTTATTATCGTAAAACAAATCGATAAAAAATGTTGATGAATATTTGGCACGTGTAGAGAAATTTTCGAATGATGAATGTTTATACGAAACTTTTCAACAATTTTTCCTCTTTTCCCTCTTTTTATTATCGTAAAATAAATCGATAAAAAATTTGTTGATGAATATTTCGCACGTGTAAGGAAATTTTCGAATGATGAATGTTTATACGAAACTTTTCAACAATTTTTTCTCTTTTCCCTTTTTTTATTATCGTAAAATAAATCGATAAGAAATGTTGATGAATATTTCGCACGTGTAGGGAAATTTTCGAATGATGAATGTTTATACGAAACTTTTCAACAATTTTTCCTCTTTTCCCTCTT